ACATATTCCGAATCAGAATTTTATGGGCTTTCTAATGATATAGGTCATGAAGTGCAGCTTGGAGACGACTCCAGATAGTTCCCTTGTTAATTTTGAGTTCTTCAGGTCATGAAACTATAGAAAAACGGTTAGAGATTAATATTTGAAGATTGAAATACTGAAATTTGAATTCGGCGTGCCTTTTTACCCCTAATTTCCGAATTTGGGGGCTCTAGCTCAAACTGTCGTAAAATCTGGTGCATCTGGCGTTTGCACACAAAACACCAAAATTTACGACGCTTTGCGCTTGAAACCTCAAACTAAGTGTGTGGGAGTAAAAAAATCACAGAGAACTCGAATTTTCAGTTATTTCCCCTCAATTTTGAGTTTTTAAGGTCATGACACCACTGCAGCATCTATGGGATGGACACTTTGGTGTATTGCACATAATCCGGATATCCAAGAAAAAGTTATTGAAGAAGTGGATCGAATTTTTGGTGGATCTGATCGGGATTGCACAAATGAGGATTTGAAACAAATGAAATATTTGGAAAAATGCATAAAAGAGAGTCTCCGAATGTTCCCACCAGTCCCATTTTTTGGAAGAAAAGTGGAGAAGGATGTGGTGATACGTGAGTTTTACGAAACTTGAAAATTGGAAAATCTAAAATTTGCCAGACGGAAATTTCCTCCCAAAAGGAGTCCGTATCATCCTGGTCCCTCTGGTCCTACAACGAAATCCACTTCTCTTTGAAAATCCAAACGTCTATGATCCCGAAAATTTTTCCGAAGAAAAAATGAGCAGTCGTCACGCCTATTCAGATGTTCCATTCTCTGCGGGACCACGGAATTGTATTGGTCAGAAATTTGCAATGATGGAAGAGAAAACAGTGATCTCATGGTTCTTCCGGAAGTACCGTATCAGTGCCAACGTGGCATTTGAAGACAATAAAATTCTTCCGGAAATCATTATGAAGAGTTCGCTAGGATTTCCAGTTACTATCACTCATCGAATGGATAATAAATGACCTGTTCTATTTTTTTCATTTGTTTTTCTGAACATCTTTATACCTCAATAGTACCATAAATGCTCTATTTTCAACCTCCATACAATACGTGCACTTTGAGTTCGATTATCTCGATTCCTCTAAGAGATATCAAAAAGTTATCAACTGGTAAAATGTTTTTCATAATGTTCTCTACATTTTATCAGTTGACAATTTTTTCAATTCTCTCAGAGTAACCGAGATACTTGAGTTCAAAGTTCTCGCCCTTTGCGCTCAATTATCTCGATTCCTGTAAGAGATATCAAAAATTTGTCAACTGATAAAATGTTTGCCATAATATCACCTACATTTTTGCAGTTTGCAGATTTTTTTATATCTTCTACGGTAATGGAGATAGTTGAGCTGAAAAGGGGCAAGTAGTGAAGAGCATCTGCCTTGATAGCGGTTAGATCATTTACCTAGAAACTTTAGTTCGTTTTAGAGTTTTGCTAATAGTGCCCATGGGATCTTACTTTTTCTAAGTTTTTGGAAATTAATTAAATAAACAAAACTACGTCTACTATATAATCCCTGAGAGCCTCAAGGACTAGGTTTCGAACAAGGGATATTGTTAGTATTTTCTGTTTTTGAGCCACTTACCATGAACATTTTCAATCAATACTTATATTAACAGAAAGCTGGAAAACAGAGCTTTCTTATAGCTTTAAAATCAACAAAATCCAAAATATTTGAAGCAAGTTACAGAAGTTTTGAAATGTATGTGTCCCTGTACACACTTCGACGCTTCCTCTTATCTCTCTCCACTTCTTGCCTCGCGCCTCTGCGCCTCTTCCGCCGACCCTTCTTTTATATACGCCTTGCCCACCTCCCTCTCTCGCCTGCTTCCGTGGCGCAATAGGCAGCGCGTTCGGCTGTTAACCGAAAGGTTGGTGGTTCGAGCCCACCCGGGAGCGAAATTTTTTTTCTTTTTTTGCTATTTTGTGCATTATTTAGTGATGGTAATCAATGGTTTTTAATGAATTCAGAAAGCTAAAGCAGTTTATTAATTGACAAAATTATGCGAAAAAAGTGGAACTTGAGAAACATGCTGAAAATTTTTGTAAAAAAACCAAAATAAAACGACAAAAATTAGAAAAAATCAAGTTGCCAAAGTTCTCATTGTAATTTGTTGACCACCTCCTTCTGCAAAACTACTGGTCTCTACCATTTTATTAGAACTTGTTCGACAACAAAATACAGCGGTGAAGAATCCTGGAAAAAATGTTTTTCTTAATGATTTTAGAGTTTAAAAAAACCGAAAATTGCTTTTCGATAATTTTCAATGATGAACATGGTTGGTAGGGGGTCAATAGCAGGGTATATGGCTATAGTGATAGTGACGAAGCCAGTCAAAAATCCCAAATCTGAATCTAGAATTGGGAACATAAAAAGGCCGGAAACAGGGATGTGAAGAAGGAGGAGTGGAATGACAGTCTGGAAAAAGGTTTATTTCTCGAAAATTCTGAAAAATCGTTTCTTGTACTTAAAACCTGCATTACAGTATCATAAAAACTTGTAAAAAAATTTCCAACCAAAAAGAATCGAACCCGCGACCTTCAGATCCAAAACCACTCCATTCACCTATTGCGCCACCCCTGCGCCACGGGCGCTTGTTGAACGCGACGGCGCGCGGCGCCGCGGTGGCGCAGGGGTTAGAAGAGATGTCGGTGGATCGGAAGGTCGTGGGTTCGATTCTTTTCTCGTGGAAAACTCGTTTTGCATTTTTTTTTTCCGGTACTGTAATATGATTTTCAAGCTCTATATTTTTTACCTGCATTACAAGAGCATAGAAAAGTTGTCTATGCAAATTTTTCGTAATCTTACTGACTGAAATCGCCACTTTCATATGTTCCTGTATCTTGTAATAGCATCGAGACCCAAAATAAAAAATCGCAGAGAGTGAGGAAACCTAAAGATTATTTTTTGTAGTTTCTAGTCTTCATAGCCTCACCACTATCAGCTCCTCTATCCCTATCCCAATCGCTGGCCGCAAATTTAGTTGCTTTCTTCCGGTTCCTGGGTTTTTAGGCCATATGAACGCGGCAATGTACACAATTTGATCGATTTTCAGATCATAGGATTCCAGAATACTCTGCTGAATCTCCAGAGAAGTTTCTGGAGTCGGCGCGAAGCAGATGCCTACTGTAATTGCCCAAATGAACGCGAAAATTGGGGGAATTAAGAGCCAAAGGAACAATTTCCAGGTGTCGAAAGTCTTGAGAATTTTGGAATGGCTAAAAAAAAGTTACTACAGTACCCATAAAGTGTATACAGTACCCATATATTGCTAAGAATCTGTAAAAGAAATGAATTCCAAAAATGCCCATACAAAAACCATAACATCCGGTGTAGACGACGAGAAGCCAATAATGGACCCATACTGGAATATAATCTTCCTCATGGATGTCTTTGAAGACTACAAAGACAGAGGATACAGTATGGTAGACCTGGAAATGGGACGTTATAGAACAGTGACGTTATAGAACTGGGATACTATATAACTATGAGGTTTTCGAACTGCGAATGTATAAAACCGCGACATTTCAGAACTGTAACATTTTTGAACTGTGACGCCATGGAACTATGCCATTTCAAAACTGCGACACTATAGAACTGTAGTTGTAGAACTATGACGTTATAGAAAATAAAATAATAGAACTGTAACGTTTTAGAACTGCCACATTGTGAAACTGTGATGTTTTAAAACCGCGACTTTATAAAACTATGACATTTTGGAACTGCAAATTCATAGCGCTTTGACGGTGTAAAACTGATTCGTTATCGAACTGCGACATTATGAAACTGTGACATTATGGAACTGTTAAACTTTCGAACTCTGACATTTTGGAACTGCGCGTTTACAAAACTGTGACATGTTAGAACAGTGAAGTTATGGAATTGCAGCTTTACAGATTTGCGACGTTTTAGAACTGTGAATTTATTTAACTATGACGTTATAGAAATACGACGTTATAGAACTGCAACGTTTTAGAACAATGACAATCCAAAACTATGACGTTATAGAACTGTGACATTTTAGAACTAACCGGCAAAGAAATGACATCCATAATCGAATAGAACATTTGAAAAAATGAAATATATATCATCAAATATTTATAGGTCCCAATTTTTTTCGGCGAAAAAATCACAATCAAATAAATCATTACGGAATTCAGAAAAAACGAAATTATGGTGGAAAAATGTTGAATTCGATTTTGTATCGATATCCAGGCAAAAGACATTTCGTTATTTTTTGAAAAAAAATTCAGCAAAAAGTTTTCAGCCAAAATTTTTTTTCGATTTTCAGACGAATTTCCAGTTTTTCTAATTGGCTATTTATACTGAAAATTTTTGTTTTTGAAAACAAACTAGATAATTCGCAAGTTGACTATAGATTGAGCACGATTTTCAGAAAAAAAAGATGGAAAATATTTTTCGAAAATATGAAAAACATATAATTTTCAGAATTTTTAGTGTCTCAGGGGAGTTTGAAGTTGTGATTTGTAGGCGGAAGATGGTTTTTTTTTCTAATTTGAAAATCGGAAAAAAAATGAGATTTGCAAAACTGACGGTTTCGCAACCGCACTTTTTAGAACCAGACGTTTCAGAACTTACCAATTTGTAACTGAGAATTTTGCAACTGATAAGTTCGCAACCGAATGCTTTGGAACTGGTGATTTCACAACCAGACGTTTTGGAACTGTCTTTTGTGAACTGGCATTTTATAACGGTTATTTCGCAACCAAACGTTTTTGAACCGGTCGTTTCGCAATCAATTGACTTTTTCGCAACCCGCCCGTATTAGGACCGATCATATCTCAACTAGATGTTTTAGAACTGGCCATTTCGCAACCGGACGCTTTAAAACCGGTCGTTTCACAACCAAAAATTCCAAAAAATCATTTTATTTCATGACAAAATCTTGTCTAAAAGAATGAGCATGATCAATAACTCGATGTATATCAATATAAGTCTTCTGCATACTTCGAATAACTGACATCATCTGAAGAAGACGTTCCGAGTATTTTACAATCCGAAGATCATTTTTATAAAAGTCATGAAGATCCGATGATAGAGAATTCAGGAATTGTTCACCGGCTTCCAAATGAGATTCATATAGAATTTTACCTGAAATTTTGTAGTCTTTGTAGTTTCCAGTAATTGTAGTTACTCACCCGCTACACACCAAATCATTTGCCATAAGAGATAGGCCTGCTCAATGAGATTCGGTTTCAAGATGCTCAACTTTTTTGCCACGTCATCGAAAACAGTGAAAAATAGAGGTTGAAGTTCTTTGTCGACGTCTTCAGCTTCCTTTGGATCCAGTTCCATTAGATTATTTCGAAATACTTCTACTAGGTAGACAGCATGAGATTTGGAAACAAAGACTACCTGGAAATTGGGCTTTTGGGCATTTTTAAATTTTCAGGCTGTTTGATTTCTTTGGAAACTCTGAATTTCTGAATTTCTGAATTTGTGAACTTCTGATTTTCTGAATTTTTGAATTCTCTTAATTTTCAAACAATTGTCGAATTTTCGAGTTTTTGAAAAAATCTCACCTTTTCCCTGCTGACTTTCTCTCCCAAAATCTCCACAGACACCGTCAAAAGTTCCAGTCTTCCCCAAACGTGCCACGTGGTTTTCAGAATCAACATCTTCTCTTTTTCACTTAATTCTCGAAAAAATTCAGAATACATGAGCCACGTGGCAGATGTTTTGATGACGTTCAGCCGAGTTTCAGTGATTATTTCAAAATTGATTTCTTCCAAAATCTGGAAATTCTTCAAAAAAATTTGTTATTGAAATTTTCAGACATTTTTAAATTACCTTCAAATCTATCCTTTTTTGATTTCTTCTTATAAATTTAAGACCCTTTTCCAATTCTCGAAGTGGCGGTAACTTTTCATCGAAATTTTCCTGAAAATCTAATTTTTTTTGGACATTTGGAATTTTCAGAAAATCACTTTATCAGAAAAAATCTGTCGAATTTCAGCGATAAATGTCTGGAAATCGTATAATGGACCATTGAACATCGATTTTTTAACAGATTCATCTATACTTGGAGCTTCGAAATCATTGGAAGTTCCGGGAACTTTTGAAGAGATTGGATCTCTATTTTGTTGAATTTCTGGAATTTTCAGCACTTTTTTCAACTAATTTTAAGTCATTTTTGGGCTTTTCCTGATTATTTCCAGATAATTTGTTTGTAAATTTTTGATTTTTTATAGAATTCAGTGGTTCAGAAAAAAGAGATTTTTAAGGATATTTCTTTAAAAATTTCAGCATTTTTTTTTTAATTTCTGAAATTTCTGAAAACCGTTTTTGAAGAATTAATTTTCAGATATTTAGATTTTCTGATTTTTCTACGCAAAAGCGAAAAACCAAAAATTTTAAAATTTTAAAAATTCTAAAATCGAGAAAATCAAAAATTCGGTAATTTGCAAAATCCCGACATTCGGAAATTAAAAAAAAAAATAAAATTCAGAAATTCGGAAATTCCAAAATGAATAAAAAAAACTCACTATCAGCGTTCATTCCAGCTTTGAGACATTTTTGAAATCGACACAATTTACAAAAATAGCGTACAGTACTATCAATTGGGCAATCGTTCATTCTTCCTTTGCAAATGTACCGTAACCTGGCAAGAAGGGACCGTCTGGAAAAATACAGTAAACTACAGTATCGAAAGTAACTTAGGAATTTGAGAATTTCAGGCTGAAATAACCCAGAGCTACAGTAACTTATTGATAGAGAGTTCGAGATTTCAAAGTACGGTAATTCAGAGCTAGAGTAAGGTAAAACTACACTTACCTGAAAAATGCGGCACACGCTCTACAAGACATCACTTTGAAATGATATCCATGACTGGGATATGTACAAATTTCACATGGAATTGGCTCCGGTGGTAGAAGATACTGTAATTTTTTGAAAAAAAAATTTGGCTGGATTTTTTGAAAATATTGTTACCGGCATATTGAGATGTTGTTCTTCTGTCAGATTGAGATGTGTCATTGGGATGGGAGACATCATAGTTTCTGAAATCTTTAAAAAAATTAAAAAAAAAAGAAATTCAGAAATGCAAAATTTTGAAATTTCAGAAAATTTGGAAAGCCAACTTCCGTAAGGTTTCCAAAAATCAGAACTATAATCAAAAAAATAAATAGTTTCAAAAATTTTGAAATTACCAAATCAATTTTTCGACAAAATCCTGATTGTCTGGATTTTTTAATTTCAAAATTTTCCAAACTTCCTAATCTGTTACATAAGAAAGTACAAAGTTTTCCCCAAAAATCGATAAAACTGTATATTGTGTACTTACTAAGACAAAGACACACTGATAGATTTTCGTTATCTTCTCTTCAAGATCTCCGATATTTTTTCGCCGCGATTTTTATCTTTTTTTTGGACATGAGAATGTGTATGTGATTTTTTGATTGGTTAAGATAGATAAAAAGTGTGATAAGAAAAAACGAAAGATCAAAACACATTTGGGTAGACATCGGGACATTAGGAAACACGGTAGGATTTTTAGCTAGGGAAAATTAATTGAAATTGTATTTTAAAGGAGGCCGGACATAAAAATTTTTAAAATTCTTTTTTTAAATATATGCCACAGTACAGTCAGAAAATAGCAATAGACACCAAACCATAACTCCCTGTTACTGTACAAGCGAGAACGTGACCGTTCTTCCAAGCGGCGCCCACTCCTCGTTTCATAATCGTTTTAGAGACATAAATGCTCGTCAAGTAGCGCGCATTGGTCGCAATCGCACGATTTTCCGTCAGAATACATGATCTCGCCCAGAGAAAACCCCGTAGACTTTCGTGTCCGGCCTCCTTTAAAAAGAAAACTGATTTCAGTTGGAGGAAATGTTTGAAAAATGTCAAAAGCGGCTGAGAATGATTCAAAAAAGTCTAAAAACTAAATTTCTGTGAATTGTTTTTTATAATCATTGAAATTGAAACGAAATATGTATTCCAATTGAAAAAAAAGCGATTAAAATATTTCAAAAGTTCTAAAAGAATTTTTTGAAAATCCCTAAATTTGGATGCTTGATTGTAATCAAAAATTTGAATTTTAGAATATTGGAAAAAATTGAAAAACGCTTTCATTAAGATTCTTTAAAGGCGCATGACCTTTTTTTCGGAGATCTCCAAAAATCGATAAGATGAGAAAATCTAGTTTCAAAGGTCATATTTCTGTTTAGTGTGAAGTTTTACAAAATCTTAAAATTTAGGCGTAAACTATTTGGAAGTCTACCGTAAAACCTCTAATAGAACGACACCCGGATCGTCCACTTTGAGC